GAGAGAGAGAGAGAGAGAGAGAGAGAGAGAGAGAGAGAGAGAGAGAGGGAACACCAGGAATATCAGGCACGGGGTAGAGAGATGGTTTTGCAGTAATAATACTGCTCTTCCAGAGAACCCAGGGTCCATTCCCAGCACCCACATGACAGCTCATAGCCAACTGTAACTCCAGTTCCAGGGGATCTGACATCTTCTGGTCACAGGACCAGGCACACACATGGTGTACAGACACAGATGCAGGCAAAACCAGGTACACATAAATTACAAAGGAGCTGGACCCAGGAGTTCAAGGGGCAGTTTCATTGAAGTCTTCACAGACACCAGAATTAGAACCACTTCCACAGAGTATCTTTTGCATAAAAAAGAAAAAATGTAATTGTTGTGACAGAATGTTCCCATACTATGCTACCCACACCCACACAGAAAAAATTATCTGCAAAGGAAACCAGGGTGCCTGGAGGACCTAGAATCTTCCACCACTCCCCCTTGCTGGTCTGGCTCTTGGAAGACAGCTTACAGTGTGTTATCCAGGGATATTCTCTCTCTCTCTCTCTCTCTCTCTCTCTCTCTCTCTCTCTCTCTCTCTCTCTCTCTCTCTCTCTGTGTGTGTGTGTGTGTGTGTGTGTGTGTGTGTGTGTCTGTTTCTCTGTCTCTGTCTTTGACTCCCTCTCTTCTCCCCTCCCTCCCTGTCTCTCCCCTCTCTCCTTCCCCTCCTCCCCTCTCCTTTCTAGGTCATGTCTAACTCCTCTTCACATTCCTTTATGGGGGGTTTATTGTTGTTTTGAGGCAGGGTCTCACTAGCGCAGGCTGGCCTGAAACTCTCAGAGATCTGTCTGCCTCTGTCTCCTGGGTGCCACTACAGCCAGCTCTGCTTTACATTCCTGCCAGTCCCCTGCAGACAGTTCAAGCTGAGATAGCAGCCAGCTATCATTCTTGTTAAGCTTTCTAAGAACTCCCTCTCTTTATGATTGAGATACTGTAGCCAATAAACCTTTTAGCTTCATTTGCTTTTAAATATTTTTTTATTATGTGCGTATTTGTGCCTGTGGGTAGGTTTATTATACACATGAGTGCAGGTGTCCACGGAGGACCAGAGGCATCAGATCTCCATGAACCTGGAGTTACAACCATTACAAGTCATCCAACATGAGTTCTCTGCATGAGCAGTACTTGCTTAATGAGCCATCACTTGCTTTTAAATGACCTTAACAGTCATTAATTTGAAAGCCCAGCTTGTTTGCACAGACCTCTAATCTTAACCCAGGAGGCTGATGCAGGAAGATTGAAAGTTTAAGGCCAACCTGAGATATATATATATATTAAGTTCTACACCAACCTAGGCTACAATGAGACCTTATCTTGAAAGAAAGACAAAGAAGTAAAGACCCGGGATTTAGCTCAGAAGCAGAGCACCTGCCTAGCATGTTTAATGTCCTAAACAATCTCTGGTAGGTCAAGAAATAAACAAAAAATTACTCGTTTGAGCTGTGTTTAGCAGTACATACCTATAATAGAAGAACTTTGCAGGAAGAGGTGTTGTGAGGTAGCCACCAGAAAAGACTGCTTTGACATGGTTTTAAGCCCTCATGAGTTTATTAACCCACACTGGGTGTTCAGGATCCCAGTGTAGCCCCTGAGCCTTTCTCAGTGACCTTTTAAGCACAAAAACCATATTCTGGGCTAACATACTTCAGCCAACAAGAACAGTTAGCCAGAAGCAGAACTACAGAAGCCAAAAAGTAAGGTCAGTACATTTAGAGACGTTCCCGAAACTATGGACTTTGATGGATTAAGCCTTTACTTTACTTTTGGCAGGTGATGCTGTCTACGAGCTGAGTTTTACAGCCTGATTGGTACTTCCATCATGGAGTCAGTTGTGCTAAGGCCTGGGGCCTGTTACAGAGGCAAGAGGATCAGGTGCTCTAGGTCATCCTTGGCTACATACTGAGTTGGAGGCCAACTGGGGCTATATGAGGCCTCTTCAAAAGAAAGAGAGGAGAGAGAGAGAGAGAGAGAGAGAGAGAGAGAGAGAGAGAGAGAGAGAGAGAGAATAGACCTGCTAACTTAAGTGTTGTGGTTTACTCTTACAATCCTAACTATTCAAAAGGCAGAAGGCTTGTAGGTTCAAGGCTAGCCTGAGCAACTTAGTGAGACTCTTGATTCAAAATAATTTTTTATCTCTCTCCCCCAATATTCATTTCCTTCCTTCCTTCCTTCCTTCCTTCCTTCCTTCCTTCCTTCCTTCCTCTCTTTCTTTCAACAAAGTCTGTCTCTGTAGCTCAGGAAGGCCTGAAACTCAGGCTGGCCTTGAGCTAGCAGTAATTTTTCTGCTTTAGCTTATGAAGTGCTTGGATTAAAAGTGTGATCCACCATACCCTATGAAATAAAAGTTTGGTTTTAAAAAAAAAGATTAACAATGTGACTTAATGGTAGATCACTTGTCTAGCATCCCCAAAGCCCTGGGTTCCATTCCCACTGCTGAAAATAATATATAATTAATTTGAAAGGCTGAGCTGTTTTACTAGCCTTCCACCAACTCTGCTGTAGATTCTACCATCACCTCTGACTAAAATCCCCCAATGGGTTAAGACTGTGCCTTGGCAAGAGTTGCTTTCAGTTCTCTTTCCCCATCTTAAACTGCAAGGTTAGCTATTCCTGAGAAAAGGAACCAAAAAGACAAACTCTAAGACTTCTAAAACTTCAGTAAGTCTTATTTAGATTTCTAGAACACAGGGCATCTGATGACCTTTGCATAACATTAAACCACTGGCCAAGGATTTGCTGATCTTATTGCAAACTCAGCCATTCGGAGTGTGTGTGTGTGGCACATACCTCTAATCCCAGCACTTGAGAGGTAGAGACAGGAATGTCACACATTGAAGGACATCCTCAGCATGATAGCCAGTTTGAGGCCAGCCTGGGCTCTATGGAACCCTGTATCAGATTTTTAAAAATTAAATCAAAAGTGAAATGATGTTTAACTTACAAGGAACTAGTATGCTTGTCTAAGAATCACAAGGGCTGGTACATCAATAGGAGAGGGCTTG